TGAATATTGTATATCACGTAATATAATTTTTATTTAACTTACTGGAAGTTATTGTAGTAATTCTCTAACTTAATGTGAAGTACTAAAAGGTTGTAGCTTTGCCTAACCTAATATTCATGACTCCACCTCTGCAGGAATTTTTATGAAGCTAGGGCAAGTAAATTTATGAGACACAACAACCTTTCCCACTGCTGGTTTTATTGCATTGAAAATGGGGCATATATACCAACGATTCCTTCCTTGCATTTTACTTTGTGAAAAAGTTATTTCCCTAGATCGAACTCAAATGTTTGGTTTTTAATGCACATACCTAATGCAATTAGTTTTGTACGTACGTATTGAAGCTGGTGGCCAAACTTCTTTGGGACCAGTGAAGCCTGTGGAGTAATTGAATATAGCAAATCATCTATTGCTTGCCCTCTGCACGTATTGGGAATTGGACATGGCCTACCAGTTTTAATGTCATAATAATAAACTCAATTACTGAATCTTTCTGATGAAACTCTGGGTTTGTCCCTGTTCACAAATTGTTTGGATTTATTATATATATATATATGTTAAAAAAACTTTGAGGGATAAATGAGGTAGATGAAATATGTCGTATCGATATGGCAACGACAAACTTGGAGTGAGAAATGAGCAGACAGAGCAGAGCAGAGAGGTCAAGTTAATCAGCTCGATTGATTCTGCATGTCTGTTTACAGTATGGGTGCGAGGATTAATGTTGTTGGGGTTAGGGGTGAGGAAAAACACCTCGAATCGAACTACTCGGTCGGTCGTCTTACCCGACCCAACCCACCCGTATATATAGTTAATGTTAAGATTTAACGTTGGGTGAGCATTTTATTTTGTACAATCCGTCTCTTTTGGGCAAGATGCAGATTCTGGATTACACAACCCATAGAATCCGATCCGATCCAGAAACATATTTATATTGTTGTTGAGGTCAAGCTTAGAGCAGCCTGTTGTAATATGTTTAAGGTCCGGAGAGCTCCGATTTCACAAAATCTTGAACCACCTCCAGTTTCGTGGGAATACCTGGAAAAAAGTCCCACCGGGGGAATCCAGGTTGGAACCTCCTACAACGTTCAAATTAGTAACCTGAATGAAACAGAATAAATACAATGACGTTAGACTTGATTCGGTCTCACGGTCGTAATTAAGCGTCGTCGGCTATTTAATGCCGCCCGATGGAAACTAACCACGATTTCATGTGGTTAGTCTACCAAATCGAGGGTGTGTTCAATGTTTAGAGATTTAACATGTTTTAGGTGATCATGAGGAGATAGAAAACCTTTTTAGAGAGAGAGTTCTGAATGTTTGGCTTCGTTTGAAGTTGTCGTAAGTGACTTGGGTATAAGTTGTGTCTTGTAAAGAGGGGAGCGGGTGCTCCCTATTTATAGGAAAACATTGTAGTTGAATTCCTTGGCTTACTCCTAGGTACATTCCCCAATACTCGTCAATATTCCCGTTACACTTTAGCATTCTCCGTCATACTAGATAACTAATAAATTATAACTATACCTGTAATTAGGGTGAACAAAACAACTCGCAAATCGATCCACACGTTCAATCTGATTCAACCAATCCGTATTTATTAAAATTAAGATATAAGGTTGGGGGAGGATTTTATTTTGTACAACCCGCCTATATTGAGAGGGTGCAGATTTTGGGTTACGCAACCCGTAGAATCCGACTCAACCCGTGTTCCAACTATTGTCATAAATGTTCGTGTCCAAAACATATTTTTGTCATTTATAAGCATATTAGTAAGAAAATTAACATTATTTTATCATATTTTTCTCTTGTGATTTCCCTAGCCAAATACATTCTTCTACTTAAAATTTAGTTGCATATTTAATATCGGCTACAATTCACATAATTTTTGTGTATGGCAATTTTAGAAGAATATTATATTATGATTGCATTCACTTATAACCATTTTAGTTTATTTCGACAAATGGTTGTGGGAAAAACTAAACTTATGTTGAAACAAATTGTATTTCATTAAAATACAAGCACCATTTATACATTTTAATACCTTTTGCTTCCATTTATTTGTCAAAAATTTAATTAGCTATATAATATTTTGTGGTGTAGAATAGTTTTTTTTTTTTGTGTTGGATTGAGTTTTTAAATAAAATTATCTCCAACCCGACTCAACCCAACTATAAACAAATCGCAGGATTCTAAATTTTTTGTGCGAGTTTGGATTTGGTATGTTCAAAACCATAGTGCAAGGGTCGGGTGATTAAAATGACCAAACACGAACCACTTGACTCATGTACACCCCTACCTAGAATAAAAGTATAGTATTTCAAAAGGTAAGTCAAAGCAGGTGAATAGTGGGTCCATCAAGTGCCACCATCGTCAGTAGGAAATCACAAGAAATGATAGTGATTTCGACACGAGATTTCGGGAAATGACCGTGACTTTTCTATCAGCAAGAAGGTGACAATTCTATCAGGAAATCACATAGTCTGGCGATGAAATCCCTAGTGGGCGCTCATTTTGGGAACTAACAAATCCTGTGAGACACGCACTGAGGCCACTATGGTGTTCCCGGAGGCATTATTGAAAATTTTCGTGGGGTCCGAAGGACTCAAACAGGTGAACCCCTAAGTTTGATCTTGCTCCGCCATCACTCATGCGGTGAGTGCATGTGGTTGTTCTTTGGTTTATAAAAAAAAACTCTGTAATTAGGGGGGGGGGGGGGGGGAATCACTGCAGTGTATTTATTTCAGTTTTCTGAAAAGGAAAACGTGTTGTCTTTAGGGATGGCAATGGGGCGGGTTTGGGGCGGGTTTGCCTTCCCATCCCAATCTTCAAATACTCAAACCCATACCCGCCCCATACCCATGCGGGGGAATGTTTTGCAAACCCATCCCCATACCCGTGGGTTTCGGGTACCCATGGATAATACCCATCCCGGTACATCCAACATTATTACACCTAAAACTTACAAGAAAAGTTTTAATTATAACCATAAACAAACCTATTATATCATGAAGTCAACAAAACACGGTCATTTTCTAAATACGATTCAAAGAATATAATCCTAAAACATCCATTAATACATAATATAGACTACAATATTTTTTAAATTATTATGCTCTAACTCTTGATACATTTACTAAGTAATAATTAACTAACATAATCTTGTTGACAAGGCGGAAAGTGAAAGAGTGGAAGGAGAATTGAGGGAAATGAATTAGGTTTTGATTAAGGTGGTTACTCAATTGCATTTCTACTATTTATTTTCTCGAGTTATCATCATCATCATTGATAGATTATAATTTAATCCACATATTTTTTAATATGTGAAGAAATTCTTTTGGTGGGGCGGGTATGGGTATGGGTATGGAGCGGGGAGGTTAAAACCATACCCGCCCCATACCCATCAAACTTTTTGCGGGTTTTACCCATACCCGCTAGGGATGGCAATGGGTAGGGTCGGGTGCGGGTTTACCCTATACCAACTCCTAACCCGCCGGGTAGAGCTTTTTAAAATACCCTTCCAAATAACTACCGGGTATGAAAATTATACAACCATACCCTACCCACCGGGTAACCACGGGTGTTCGGGTAACCATGGGTACGAATCCTAAACTATGAACTTATACACATATATGCACATACATACTCTTGTCCATTAAAAATTCTCAATACTTGCAACTGTTCTAGTTTCAACAATCCACACAAATAAAAATAGCAAACACATAATAATTGTTCTTTCTTCTACAATCCACACAAACATAATAATCGTCTACATCTTCATCATCAATAATGGTAGTTAAACTCAATTTCTCAAGTTAAATAAATTTCTCAAGTGAAATTGATCCTTTGGTTAGCGGGGCGGGTATAACGGGGCGGGTATTATCGATTATCATACCCGTACCCTACCCTTTATTTTGAAACCGGGTATTACCCGTACCCGCCCCTTAACCCGTCAAAACGGATAATTATCCTCGTTGACCGGTTACGGTCGGGTAGGGTACCCATGGTTACGGGTTGGATTGACATCCCTAATACCCGCCCCATACCCGGTCAAAGCGGGAATTCCCCGCGTTGACTGGGTCGGGGGTGGTCGGGTACCCGCGACCATGGGTTTGATTGCCATCACTAGTTGTCTTTGAAATAGCCGAATAATTGAAAGGAAATGCGTTGGCAGATGAAAGTAAAACCCGAATATATTCGCGCGCGCGAATGGATGGATTTGGCGGAGGAGCCACTCGACTCCCTCAAAGTTAGCTTTCTTTGCTCTCTCTCTCTATATATATCTTCTCTATGAACTGGGCCTGGAATGTTATTCATTCATCCTCAATGATTCTGGCATGCGGAATCTGATGCTTCACCTTCTTGACTTGTTCCGCTACCTTCTTCCTTTACCTTTTTTTGTAGAAATTCTTCCCTTTCTTTCAATCCTCTAAAAGGGGTGCTTATGGCTTTCTTCACACGTTATAATTAAATAAATAAAATCATTCGAAAGCTTTCTGGCTTCTGCAATGCAAACTACACTCTGCTCACCCTGGTGTGCAAAAAAGAAAAAAGAAAAAAGAAAGAGAGATTTCTTTCGTGAAAAGCCAATTTCAGGCCGCCCCCGTCGTTGGAAATAAGTATGAGATTATATATCTGATTCGAAAACAATAAAGCAAGCTCTTCCTTTCTGGTTGTACACCTCCAAAATTCCAAATTACTTACTAAGGCAACAAACCAAAATGAATTCTCCCCTCCTCACCAAACATAACCTAAGCAAAACTGGAGCCTTTTTGGCACTCAGCAACAACAAGTGCAGTCTCGAATTCGGCTCCGAAGAAAGAAAAGAAATAATCAAAGAATATAGAGGAGGATTAACCTGGCAAACGAGTAATGATCTGGTTTCGATATGAACTTGCTATCTGGATTGGATTTCCCATAACTGAGGCCAGCGAGAGATAACAAAGAGAGAGAGAGGGACCGTGGATGACGAGACTTCTTTAACACTCTACATAACAGCTCCCCGTCCTCAAAGCCCTTTCCCTTCGTCCTCGTTCAGAATGCGATTCCTGAAGTCGCTCACCATGAGTGGCAACCCGTCTTTCAGCGAGATTTTGGGCTCCCAGTTCAGCAGTTCTTTTGCTCTCCCAATGTCCGGCTTCCTCTTGTGCGGATCATCTGCGGTGTTTGGCCTGAACTCTATGCTTGCACTTGGATCAATAACTGTCTTCACCACCTTCAACGTTACCAAAACACAGAGTCAGATCTCAGCACAAGCACACGAGGAAGCACACACTTTACATAAAGAATCCTATCCACAAAGGGCAAATAAATTCACAAGGTCAGGTAAGGGGGGCAAACCTCAGCAAGCTCAAGCATGGTGAACTCTCCAGGATTGCCAAGGTTGAATGGACCAACATGCTCACCTCCCATCAGTGCTACCAATCCATCTACCTGTCATTCAAAGGAGCAGCAGCTGTAAGGCGCTGACAACAATGTCAAAGTTGCTCCCCACAGTGACAAACAACTGATACACTCTGCCACAACAATGCCACTGCAGCTATCTCTCCCTCACTCAAGTTTGCAAACATTGTGGCCCACTAGTCCTCCTATGTTAGGGTCGCACAACTAACATAGCAACTCACTAAGTCCGAGACATTGATACTTAGCATCTCAGAAAGTCCATCATGTAGTATGTCAAGCTAGAGAAAAGTCAGCGGGAATCCAGCAATTATTTTACGTCTGTGTAACGACCGATTTGATGCATAGACATCGGAAGTTGATTGCTTGGCATGCGCCCTAAGGTTGACAAACTGACAATCCATGAGGGTTTGATTTCCTGTCACTGACCCGGATCGAAGACCTATTCAACTACCCTGAGTGTTCAAATGCACATCTGCTAACATTGACCAATGGCTTCTTACGCATTCACATGTTCTGCAAGTTTCAGAAAATTTTGAAAGTTGCCGGGAACAGCCAGTAACGAATGCAAAAGAAATTTTGCATGTTCGAAGAAGAGTATCTGTTTCAAAGTATTAGATAACAGTAAGCCATACCAAGTCAGAAACATATTGGAAGCTCCTCGTTTGCTTCCCATCGCCATACACAGTCATTGGTTGTTTGCGGATGGCCTGAAAAGGTTCAATAATTATTTTAGTACGACTGATATGCAATCACAATAATATAGATAGAGGTTACTTATAAGTTGGCTGCCAAAAGTAACTTCAATCAGTAAACTTCAGATAAGATTGTATCAGATGGAAGTCACGTGTGCTAAAGAGGAAAACCAAACCTGAGCCACGAAATTGCTGACAACACGTCCATCGTCCAAACACATGCGAGGTCCATAGGTGTTAAAAATGCGAGCAATACGCACCTGCAAATAGTAGGATTCCACGATGAACTAAGTACATACAAAACAGGAGTATTTTTAACCAGTGCTTCAAAGCGATCCTGTTCACAATTCACAACCTTGTCCCTTATCCGTTACCCTGAATCAGACTACCTGTAGCAGCAAAACTATAGTGAAGAACGAAAGCAGATGCCCACCCTACTTGGATCTCAAAGCTCAGAGATCAACCCTCAATGTTCATCAATTTATTAACTTCATTTTTGCTTGTGAATGAAGTAGACTTGACAGAATCATTGGTTTGAAAAGGAAGAAAACTACTAACAGAAGGAAAGGATTCTTAACATTCCATGGCAAGTCCATCAATTTATATGGTCACGTCAGAAAGCTTAATTCTTCAGATCAATTCACGGAAAGCAAAAAGAAGGACATGATAACAACACTAGATGCAAGTTAAGCATCCAGATCTTAAATGCTACCAACATTTAAAGCAAATCGCAGTTACCTCAACACCAGCACCTCGGTGGTAATCCATGGTCAGTGTCTCTGCTGTTCGTTTCCCTTCATCATAACAGCTCCTCTCACCTAATCAATTTGCAGTCACACAAGCATTCCAGTCAATGAACAACCCACATCCTTTTTCTCAAAGAAGCAAATGCACATCGATCGTCGCAATTAGAAACAAACCAATCGGATTAACATTTCCCCAATAAGTCTCCTTTTGTGGATGCTCAAGCGGGTCACCATAGACCTCACTGGTACTTGTCAGCAGAAACCTGGCACCTACTCTCTTGGCCAAACCCAACATATTCAGCGTTCCCATCACATTTGTCTTGTAAGTCAGGCAATCACAGTCAAGGATCTCAAAAACCCAATTCCAATTCAAAGCAACTATAGTATGATACACAACAGAAGCGTTCATTAATGGAGACGAATAATTAGAAAAGGATATGATTGTCTTGACGGGATTGTACTTGTAATGAACCGGAGATGCAGGGCAAGCCAAGTGATAGATCTGATCTACCTCCAACAGTATAGGCTCCACAACATCGTGACGAATGAGTTCGAATCTAGGGTTCCCGAACAGATGAACCAAATTATCCTTCCTCCCCGTGAAGAAATTGTCAATCACAATTACCTCATCGCCGCGGGCAATCAACTTATCCACCAGATGGCTGCCGACGAATCCAGCTCCACCGGTAACCACAATCCTCAACCTCCGTCGGCCGAGATCCGCAGGTACCCGGCCGGAGACCGACCTCCTCTGGAATATGCCCGAAGATCCGCGGTTGGAGGACTGAACGACAGAAGAAGAGCCGGACAAGGAACTGGTGACGGCAGTGCGAGCCTCAGAAGGGCCGAGGCGGGAGAGAGTGGGCTGGAGGATGAAGAAAGTAGAGCCGATCAGAACTCCGACGAGGACGAAGAGGAGGCGCTGCTCGCGGAAGAGGTAGTTGATGGATCTGGGAAGAGATCTAGGGTGTTTGAGTGTCTTGGGCGAGTATTGATTCCCCGGCATCTCCTCGTCCCGACGGTAGTTCACGCTCGCTTGCTTGTGCAGCTGCTTCATCCTGTGCGGCTTCAGGCCGAGCTCCGGCGAGCGATTCCGGTCAGAATTGTCGTGAACGGAGGTGACGGTGGAGCTGGTACAAGGAAATGTAAAAAAAAGAATTGAGAAACTAGGAGGGAATTGCTCCTGTGAGAATGACAGTTATTTGGGCAGTTGGAAATTGCCACGCTCCATGCGTCCGAACTCCGACACCGCGTAAAAGGAAGAGAAGAAAGAGGAGAAACGGACCCCGTGAAAATTGACGGTAACCAAACAGCCCAACCACCGTCTCTCTTGCTTCTGGACGTAAAAGGGCTTCCTCACGAGCCCAATAAAATGGGCTCTCTACATCGAATTCGGGCCTAACTATGGTCCAGCCCAGATAGCGACGGAAGCTATAAAGATGAAGCATTTGTCTTCTCTGCTTCGGAATAATTTCTAGGGTTTAGGAAGTGGCCGCAGAGGAGGAGGAAGTGAAGTGAAGAGCCGAGCCGCACAGGGAAGCATACAATGGGTAAGTAAACTCAACTCCGACGTCTGATTTCTTTCTCCGTTGCATTTTCCGGTCAGTTCGATTTGTTCGATGGTTACCGCTGATTCGATTTCTGATGCGAAATGGTGGCTTGTTGACGGTGAATGCATCAGCGAGGATTAAGGTTCACGAGTTGAGGAACAAGTCCAAGACAGACCTCTTGAGCCAGTTGAAGGAGCTCAAGTCTGAGCTCGCTCTCCTCCGCGTCGCCAAGGTCACCGGCGGTGCACCGAACAAGCTTTCCAAGATGTAAAGGCTCCTCCTTTTTGTTCCCCCTTTCGTTCTTTATATGATCGATTGTTTACGTGCTTTGTTTTTTCTGATTTGTATAATTTTTTGCAATTGGGCAGCAAGGTCGTGAGGCTATCGATTGCGCAGGTGCTGACAGTGATCTCTCAGAAACAGAAGGCCGCTCTCAGGGACGTTTACAAGAACAAGAAGTTGTTGCCCCTTGATCTCCGTCCCAAGAAGACTCGTGCTATTCGCAGACGCCTCACCAAGCACCAAGTGTGTATTCTCTTGCTGTTCGTTTAACTATAATTATGCTGTTATGATAATGTGGAGTCTGGCCTCACAACTTATTGATAATATGTCTTGCACTAGGAGTAGGAGAATGCTCAGCGTAGAAATAGTTAACTTGATAAGGGTGGAAAGGCCGCTGCTGGAAGCTTGCTTTTGTAGTTGTTTGAAGCTATCCAGTGTTATGAAAGCAATAGAACTGGTGGCAACTTGGTTATTGGTCGAAGCCTCACATCTGCGAGCTCCTAAGGTTAGCTAGTGAATCTAGAAGGCAATTGTATTGATGACCTAGGGTTAAGCATCTGGTGACTGGAAGTGCATCTGTTTGCAGTGAAATGTTGTATGACTACTCTGTGTGAACTGGTACTGTTAAAGGTCTATGCATGGTAGTCTGTTGCTGGTCTTTTCCAGCCATTGTGTACCGTATCGTCGGTGTTGGCAACACAAAGTAGAGAACATTTTGGTGATTGTTCTTTATTCCATTGTTATGGTGGTTGCAGGCATCTCTTAAGACCGAGCGGGAGAAGAAGAAGGAGATGTACTTCCCATTGAGGAAATATGCTATCAAAGTTTAGGGTAGTCGAATGGCCATCTTTTAGTTCAACCTGTGGGTTTGTTTATGTTCGAAGACCTAAAATTACTCGCTATTTTTCTCGGAATCCATGATCTTTTGTTAGTTCCTGTCCAGACCTCCTTGGTTACTTTCCATGCCGATGTTTGCAATGTCACGCAAGTACCTTTGTTGCTAGTGTTCCTCGTGGGACTTCGATGACCCATTCATGACAGCCACACTATCTGCTAGTTGAATCATGAATGACTTGCTATTTTGAACGACTGTGAAGTATGTTGAAGATATGTGAGGCTGAAAGAAAATGTAATAGCTGGATGTGTTGTAAGCGTCTTATAGCTGTAGCATATGGGCATCAGGTTATTCAGGTGTGGTGTCCTTTCTCCGAACTCCGTCCATACTATAGTCTAGCACTGGTTGGAATCAGTCCCATCCAAAAGAGGCTTTGAATGAAGGCATGAATGGTTTTACCAGCTCTGACAAATGGAGTGTGCTGGGTAAGCGTTCTGAAGGACATTACTCTCATCAGGGATAAAAGTCATAAAACTAGCCCATAGTGGGAGTCGAGCCCATGACATCTTGATCAGAAGTAAAATACTAATCCACTACTATGAGGTCTGATAGTGGATTTAAGCCCATGTATTGCTATGCTACTAAGGTTCCATAAGACGTTGGGTGGAGGTCGGTGATAAGTGGACCAAGCTGGTTCTGAATGACAAGTCTCAATAACGGTTGGACTTGGTGAATGGTTTGGTTTGTTGACCGCTCTTAGGGCATTTGGAGACAGAGGAGATTCTGTCACCTATGGAGATTTGGAGAGTTTGTTACGTCTGGCAATTTTGATTGCATGTGTTTAGCGATTTGCATCGCATTTGAGTTTGACGATAAGGATCAGGTCTGGGTTCATCTGGAAACTTTGGTTGCGTTTGGTACATATGGTATTTGAGAGAGAATTCAAGTCAAGGTGAAGATTTGTTAGGATATGACTTGAATTTAATTTGAACTTTGTTTTGTGTTTTGGGCCTATTCTGTTGGATTTGTGTTTGGCATTTTCCTTGTAGGTTTGGAAAATGTGTTTGGTTTTCTATTTGGGATCAGGAGAAGAGTTCTATAGATACTCTTCATCACCCTCATCTGTTGTTAGGTCAGTCATGTTATAGTTTGTTTGGTTTGTCCGTTCCGAAATTTGGTTTGTAACATGTACTCTACTCAAATCAGTGAAATTTGTTCTTCCATGTTCGTGTATTAGCTAGCACACACTATATTAGTGAACCACGTTAAATTTATGTTCGTTTGTATTGATCAGGATTATCGATTGCACACAAGAGTTACAACAGAAATATTTTTTTGGCTGGTCTCAGAAAGAGATGGAGACTCTCCTAACTTGCTGGCATACTTTCGCTCTCAGAAACAAAAGGTCAGATTCAGCCTTTTTTTCAATTTACAAAAATTAAGTTTAATGGTCATTGGAGATCCATTTGTTTGGCTCACGAGGAAAGGGGGGAAATTCAGCTTTGCACTCACACAATGATGCATTATGGCTAACCACAAGGAAAAAGCCAGACTTTGGCCCAAACCCAACCACCTTTGAAATTTAGCAACCAATACGTGCCTGATCGACATTCAACCTCGTCATGTCATTTTCATCTTTGCACACAGGCGTGAAAATGAAACTGATTCTCACAATACAATCCCTTTCCATATTAGACGTACCGTACGGAATCCAAACTACGTTGGCACATGATTTTGTAGTAACCGATCGATCGAGCGACGTAAACAAATAGAACAGCTCGTAAAAGACAAACCAAGCACACAAATACTTAATAGCCTGATCATCCCCCCTTTTTTTTTTTCCAGGATTTTTTCAGAACTGAGAACCGCAAGTTAAGACGGCGGTCTAAATTATCTGCAGAAACCGTCGTATGGAGAGGTGGTTTATAGGCTGACTTAGAACAAATCGTCTGTTGAAGGAGCGGTTCTACGTCGATAATAGAAACCGCTCCTTCAATAGGCAGTTTACCTTGCCAACACACAAACCGCATCCCCTAACGATTTGTGTGCCGTCCCCATTACCCCGACTTCCGACATGTCGGTATGTAGGGGATTACAGACGTGGGGCTGCATGGCCCTTTTGAGAAAAGGCAAGATGGCGTCGTTCCATGGGAGCACATTGCTCGTAGCCCTATAGCAGATTATACCGTGTGCATCCTAGCAAAATAATTTAACTTTCACAATAAGTTTATGATATACTAAAGTATAAATCTATTATAACAAATAATTTAAATAAACAAAATCAAGGGGTTTTCCAATATATATACATAATTTCGTAAAACGAGCATATTCAATTAATTAAAATAAATAGCATTTTTAATGAATAATAATTTAAAGAGATACATATTCAAATATTTGAAATTAATAAAATTAATTTTGTACACATACACATAAGTCAATTATATTATTGTGTAAATCGTATTGGTTGTTTTCAATAATTTAATCGAATACAAGTACACTCGTTAGACTCTTAGAAGAGATATACATCTTCTTAGATACACAACCTTTTTGACAGAAAAAGGAGGGATACGAGAATCGCTTAAAACCCGATTTTCCAGGAAATGGGAGAATCATGATTATCGCTTAAGACCACATTTCCTTAGGCATGCATCTCTTTATAAAGATTCTAAGTAAGTGGAGCATTGTATTAGCACAAACCATTAAAAATTATCAATACGATTAAAAATTATCAAATTTCTTTATAAACCACTAAGTACGATAACAAAATAATAAAAAAATAACAAGTGATGAAGAAATTGTACGTTACCTCGTGATCATTCCAAACATCCCTTGAACGATGTTTAGGTTGATTGTACAACACGCTTAGATCACTCGGTCCTTGATCAACATACTATCTCTGATTGTATATATATATCCACGTCCTCCCCAACCTATGATAAAATAATAACAACATAAATTGATTAGTATATTGATTATTTAAAAAATTATAAAAACAACAAAAATTCGATAAAATGACTGAGATTCGACGGGTTTTGAAGGAAAAACCAAATAAATGTTTTTATGGCAGTTTGGACTTAGCTGCAACCAACATACCACTATTTCCTAGATTACGTACTCCTTGCGCCCTCATACCCTCAAAGAAAGCGCTTTGCTCTGGATCCTGGCTCGCTGACCGGGCATCGAGACCCTCGTGACTTCCAATTGACGTCAGATAATCTACCTTCAAGTCATATCAATATATTTATCTCTAAAGGTGGCAATTTGAATCTAACTCACTTAATTCATTTTATCCCAATCTAATTGGATTGGTGGATTAATGGATTGAATTTATTGATATTTGGAAACTTATATTAGTAGCTATATTTTTTAATATTTTTATGATTTCATACCTAAATTTTTATTTTTAACGAAAAGTATCATTCGTTACATTTTGGAACCTAAAATTTTCATAATTACATTTTAGTACATAAAATTTTCAAAAATTTACATGAAAATTATATGTTTGGATGTCACTTGGCCACACCTTTTCCTCTCTATATCTTTCCTATACTATGTTTTCTCTCTCTAGAATACCTCCCTTATGGAAATCCATGTCTTGATTTTTATATTTACCTGCAACCAGGCTCAGGTTGATGGCCATGATCTAGGAAAGGGTAATTCACGGGCATGGGAGCCAAGAAACGGTTGAAATTGTGCTATAAGTTTTAAACTATAATCCATGAGCTACTCTTTGTTATCCTTTTTTTCATGTTATAAAGATGGTCTCATTAAGGATCAATTAAATTACTGATGAGGGACCTGGGACCTTAATTTGTTGTTTATATTTTAGTGTTAATTATATAGATATATTGGAATTCTCGGTACAAATTAAATATAGGAAAGGTTGGAGAGGTTGAGCAATATTGATTATGGCTTTCTTTCCCATATAGTTGTGTGTATGCATGGAATGGAGGAAAAGGTCAAGGGAGTTGAAAAAAGTGGAATGAAGTTGGATTCAGGATCTGGTGGGTTCACATCCAAAATATATATTTGTTCTTTTCCCAAATGGGTTTAGTTTGAGATGGTCCTATTCCTCCTATATATATATCGTTCCCTGACTTTAAATTCTCTGTACATAGTAATTTATGCTAAAGAAAATTCCACATCATCCTTTTTTTTTTTATGTGAAAGATGAGTAAATTAATTCGTCAACTTTTCCTCCCGTTTCCCTGCAGGACTGCCTGTCTAGGGTATGGCCACTCAAGCCAGGACTGCCTGAGTGACATATCTATTGCCTAGTCGCATTCTCGGATCGTTCGTATAACTCAGATCATACCGATCAGACAGACGCAAAATCCTAAATCTCTAACCTTCCTTATAAATGCACATCATCAGACGACCAGAGACGACCCACACACCAACCCAAGAAAGAACTTAGAATCTCTATGTTGTGTGGATGCAGTAAAAGTAGGGCTGGCAATTTGGTCCGGGACTGTTTGGTTTTACCCGAAACCGGACCGTATCAACACCTAAAATCAAGATCAAATTAGGACCGGACCGGGTCAAGACCGGACCGGATCAAGACCGGATTGTATCCAATCTAATCTTTGGTCCTTATATTCCCGAAAAAACCGGACTGGGACCGGATCAATTTGGTCCAATTTAACCGGACCGGACCGTATAACCACCCCTACGTAAAAGCACTAAATAGCCACGTAACGAACGTAACTTACCATCCGAAGAATCCATGCATGCACCAGCCGCCTGCTCTCCTCACGGTGGAAACAGAACGATCAATTGTTTACTTCTATTTCAGAGTAGATGGCCGAGAATGTTGAACGGCGCCGTTGGCTAACTATATATTATTACCTTATAAATTAATAACTAGTTTAATGTCCGGAGTATATGATTAAGAAGAAAAGTCGAATAAATTGTCAAAAGACCCCAAGTCATGAGGAAAGCTTCTTTCCAATAAAACAAAAACTATGGCAGGAAAGTTGGATTTCTTAAAATACAATTGGATCTAAACAATAACTTATCAAAAAGATCATAGAAGCAAAGGCTGATAATGGCACTTATTATTCTTTGTCCCAGCTGCTAGCGTATTTCTGAATGTTTGATATTATAATACCATATATTGTGTTGTACAAACTTGAAAAGTAGTATACATGACAGGATAACAAGATATCAACCACACCATCCTTATTCTTTATTTCCG